AGCAGATCCGTCACCGCCGTCGGTTCCCGGTGCCTCGCCTCCCACAGATCGAGAATATGCTCGGTCGGGCTGGCCTTAGTCGCGAAGTAATTGATGTACCTGTTACACGAACGAAGACACCGGCTGCGTGATTACCGAGGAAAGTGGTACAAGTGGATATATCGTCGGTGAAATAGAACACGCGTTTCGAGTAAATTTATATAACGTGATGTGATGAGCAACTAGAAACCCCATCGCGATACAACTTCATTACGTTTAGACATTATAATTTTTTAAATTAATTATGCAAAATGTAAAAAAAATTGATAGACTTTATTAATCATATTAATCATCTTATTATTAGAGAAATTCTTTGACTTTGTTATTAAAGCAAATATTTGCTATCGCGTGTTGTTTTATCTGCATTGAAGAGCACGAATCTCTTCGCATTAACGAATGTATTTTATATAGTCTGTATAAACATACTGGCGTATCTAAAGAAGTCTTAGATTAAGTATAGAGCAAAATGAGAAAAGCCGAAGCACTAACCTGTCGACTTGAAGCCTTTGCGCCAACATTCTCCAGTCATTACCCAGAGCGTTCGGCGGATCTAAACATTGGCAGAGCTGCTTCCTTAAGGATCTCGTAAACCGAAAAGGTCGTAGCGTAGTAGAGTCTGTGGTGGCGTTGTTAGCGTGTCCGCTGCTAACCACGGTAACTTCCCTGAGTGGTCTCGTGACGCTACCCGAGGAGATCAACTGTTTTGCGCCATCGTAAACGATTCTGAAGACTTGTCTCGTGTCAGAGTTTCCTTGCGAAACTTGTAGCTTGTAGCTCCTCGTGGTGGTCGGGCCAAAAGCCGTATCCAGGCCGAAGGTCACGTGCTTGGCGTTCTCCTGGCAATTCCAAACGTCTCGGAACGAGACTTCCTGGCGTTCCGTGGGCGACTTGCTTTGCCACTCGTTGCCGACTTCTTCAAGACTGACGCAGAGCGATTCCCCGTTGTTTTGAAACAGCAACGTGCGCGGCTTGTCCAACAGATAGCCTCTGATCTGCGACTCCCGATCGACGATGGCTTTCATGGCCGCCTTCGTATCCTCCACGGCGTAAACCCTGACACAACACTGACCAGCCTGGCTGGCAAAGAGCGCTAATCGCAATCGCTTTGTGGCGATCGAACTCTCGCAACTCTGGCCGGCTAAAACGTAACCGCGAAGCTGCTCGGTCACTATGAAAGCCTCCGCGTGATCCAACTGCGTGAATAACGGTGTATTGATAGTCTCGTTGCCTAGAGTTAACACTCTGCTCCATGTAATTGACTGGTGATCTTTCGACATCACCGATGACGAGCCGTCGTCGACGTTAACACCGTCGCACGCCCAAACGCTCAGTTCCCAGGTTGCCGGATGCAACATGGCGCAATGCTCGAATTGAAGGATTACAGGCTTGTTGAAGGTCGCCGACGACGGGCCGCAGGTCACCACAGCCGATAACTGGGTTATCCCATCTATATGGAAAAAAACGGGATCGAGATTCGAGCCGTGTATGCGATACGATGGAGAAAAATGAACGACTCTAATGTAATATCATTATCGAGCTTAATGCCGTTATTGTACGTTATCATTATCGCCGCGTTACAGTTTCCGTTACATTAAACTTTCGCGCTTGATTAATTGTATTTAATATATTTAACATGATTTACCGCGCACATATGATCTTTCAATAACGGGTAAAATAAATTTATCGATAGATTGTTAAATCTTTTCTTTTCCCGTAAACGATTTTATTCTGTTGTTCGTGACACGAAAGAATCGGTATAGGAGCGGTCTATATATTGAACATCAAACGCAGGGTATATAATCCGAAGCACGTGCGGAACGGCATTGATATAAAAATAACATCGCGTTATCGCGAACGTCTCGAATGTACATTTGGAAGGTTCGCAGCTGCGATCGTAAAGCTTGGCATCTGCTTCTCGACTGCTTATAACGCGCGCAACGCCATGAATAATTTGCACTCACCGGGTAATCGAGGCCTGTAACGATCCTCGTTGAGCACCGCCAGATAGAGTTCCGCCCGGAGTGGCTTGGGAACGGCACCCTCCGGTACCGACATGGAGATCCCAGAGTCCGGAAGAACCAGCAGGGCTCCTCGCGTGTTTACCGCTGCCCTAGCGACGTTCCCGGCCTCCAGCTTCGGCAACCGGACGCTCTCCGAAGCGACGTTATACGTCGAGTCCGAGGACGGGTAGGAGCTAGTGACGCTGTTCTCGCTGTCGGAATGGATCTGTTTGTCGCTGCAGGACTCTTGGGTCGACGTGCTCGGTGTGGGTGACATCGGCGACGGTTGCGGCGCGATCGACAAGTGCGGTACATCGTAGTGATGTTCCGAGAGGGATCTCGACATCGACAGTTTCGGGTCGAAAGGATACTCGTAGCAGGCCGGCACGCTGGTCGCCGTCACATCCGGTTGCAGGCTCAGCTTCTTGTCCTGATCCGGGAAGAACTCCGGCTGGAATTCTGAAACGTACACGGCCGAAGTACGGCTCGTGGGTATCTCTGAGCGCTGCGGATAAACGCCGCCGAGATACTATTCCGATTTTACATATGAGCTACGATAGAACGACTCGCGCATTTTATTCATCGTTACGTGATATGCATACATTGCGATATATCATATTGCGATTAGGTAATAAGAAAGATTAATGAAATTAGCAATATCTAAAAAAATATTTAGTTCTTTTTTCTCGCCTAGATGTAAATTTTTATCTCGAAATAGTATCTTGCTCATATTTAATTACGCCGAGAGAGTCACGCGAGAGATTCATTTTATCGTAATATTGAAAATATTATAGGGAACAATTTTTTACGAGCGTAATTAAAAAGTATATATTATGTAATACAAATATTTACTTTATTCGTGCGTTTATTTAATCGTAAAATAGTTGTAAAGAAAAAATTTAATGTTTGCAAAAAAAAAGTTTTAGATTTTATTTTTAAACTAGATTCTAATGTTATTAAGATATATTATTTTTTTTGTGTTTGATTTATAATGCTACGTACACACCCACACATATTCGTTTTTATTTCTGAAATGCTTACCATTACGAGCCATGGAGTACAAGGAATGATCGCGACCTTTGCGTCGCAAGAGTCTCGCCAGAAAGATCGCCAAGCCACCAATTACTACACAGGCGACCGTTAGACCGACATACAAGGCTACATCCATCTGGCGATTCGCTGTAAAAATTACATTGCAAATTTTTTTATCTCTTCCGACTATATTTTTTAAAAAGGAGAAAAAATCATGGACCATGCGCGAAATTTTTTTTCTTAAATAAGTAGAGGATATAACGCTTATTATTGTAAACGGTGTGAAAATTGCGAGCAATTTTATGCGTGAAACGACCGCATCGTTTCCTCATGAATACTTAACGTCGTAACTTTTATTTACTTTTTATACGAGACTCCTTTTACGAAGACAAAAGAAGCCCAAAAGCTAAATATTATGAGCGCCGTAGAAAAGTTTTAAGGTTCCTCTCCATTTACTCTCCGGCGACAAGCTCGTTTCCTTTGCGCGCGCTCGTTTTCTTTAGCGCGTCAGTTTATCGTTTTACAGCTCCGCGTTATTTCGTACGGCTATAAAGATTCCGATCATTATTATCGCTGCCATTAACGTACGCAATAAAAGCACTGCGACACGAACACGCTTGGAACGGAATAATAATCTCAAGTCTTTGCCGTGTCGCGTCTGATGTGGAGGGAAGAAAATCCGTCGGCGAAAACCGCGGCGTGGGAAGCGATTTAAAACCATCGACCGAGATTGCATCACAATGTAGCAGGTATTTAACGAAGCATGCGGCGTATAAATCAAATTACGCGATGATATGTCCTGTCCTCGAGAATCGCCCGGAGACGCGTTTATGCAAAAACGAAATTCATCCCGATGCTTTACGACCGCCGTTCCGGTTATATGGATAATGGAAGTAAATGCTACCGAAGAAAATGAAATTCTCGAAAAATAAAACTCGGCCGCGTAGTAAAACGCGACGGCGTAGAAGCTCTCGCCGCAGTTATCTGAATTATGGGCAATTTTTTCTCTTACCGGATTACTTTTTGCGTGCTTAACCATTCACGAAGCTGCCTGATGTTCTGCGACAACGAGACGACGTAGAAAATGTCCCCCCGTAGTCGTAAAAGTTTTCGAGAAATACCTCAACTGCCTGCCATGCGAGCCTGACACTCTTAAGCTTCTTCCAATTTTAGAATGTCAAAGCCATACGAGGTCGTAACCCTGCTACGTGACTTTCGAGCTCAAACTCTCTTTTGCGGGATCATGTGTGCCTCGTTGGCGCGCGCCGTGTTCTCGACACGTGCCTCGCACGTCAATATATAACGACAGCGACGAAAATGCATACGAATTCGGAAAAGGGATTTCGAAAACGCAATAGTTCCACATCGTTACCCGCAGGACGCGACAAGACCGAAACGAGCGTACGGCTCCCTCCTTATGGAGGCAACAAGAAAAATTGGCTTTTCGTAGGAGTATCGGGATTTATTTTCTCTTGAGACCATTGATAACGCTTCATAACCCGGCCTAAATGTATCCGAAGCTATTTATCATTCTTACTTCCGAGAGACGGCAATATTGTGTAAATGCTTTCAAGTTCTGTCAGTGATAAAAATTTATCAAATTTTCTTTGGTATTGTTAATTAATTCTTTATATTATCTAAATTATTTTTGTATTTATTAGAAACTTATTACAGAGTTAATTTACTTTTTTATCGTTATCGAGATAAAATCTTATAATAATTCGTTGCATCTCAACGCGCTTAAATATCGATCATCATGAGCTGTCCATTTTTAATGTTATCTCGATTGAAGGGTATCGCGTCTTAAATATTTAAACCAGGGACGCGTCCGGGATGACTCAAGGTTCTCGCAAGACGCTTGTCGGCGTAAGGCGGTAAATCGCATCACGTTTCTCCGGCGGCGGCGGCGAGCGGCCGTATCTTCCATCTATATTTTATCGCCGCTTTCAGGAAAATCGAACTCACTTCTGGATTCAAGAGGGTGGCGGTGAGGGGGGGGAGGGAGCCGTTTCGGGGCATCCAGCCCCCTCGAGGAGAGAGATCCAGTCGTGTACACGCTCGGGTCTACGCTACGGGATAATGGCACTTTATTTGCATGCGCGATCAATTTCCCCCTTCCGCGACGAGGGCGTAACGGCTACCGATTACATAATTTTCTTCGATATTAAAGCCGGTTCTCCGCCCCTCGGCGCAAAGGGGGTAGAGAGAGTGCAGCCGTATCGCGTGCAACTTTGATGTGCTTCGGTCGATAGAATTGGCTACCTTAGGGTGGCGGGGGAGAGCGAGAGGGGTTGGCGAGGGAGAATGGCGTCTGTGCGGACCAGTGGGCCACCCTTGGCTACCTCATTGTTACGATTGTTTGGATCGACGCAACGAGGGGTCGCGACGATCATGCCGGGCCTTCGCGGGAGCGTCAATAATTAACCAGTCGAGTAATTAAAAGTAAATAGTAGCTTCGAGCTCGTTATTGACGCGGAAAAACGCGTTGGCAAATACGTCGTGGTAAAGCGAGCGATATTGCAGGCAGTCGACCGGCTCTCATTTCATCCGCGGAAATTATATTTTTAGCATAAGCGCGCTGAGAGATCGACGAGCCTGATGCACAGCGCGGGCGCCTCGATTTGCGTTATTATACCGGATTAATGAATAATGCTAATGTTCACCGCGCCTGCGTTCACGCTCTCTATTTTGCCGTCTTTTTCATAGCGCATAAAACATCTGATTTGAATGGTATCAGATCGTCGGGTATAGCGCCGCGTCGCCGGGAATATAAATGGCGTGCACCAGGCGTGAAGAATCCATCCAAGAATGTCGCACGACGAGTTAAGGACATTTGCTTCGCGGTTGAACGCCTTGGTCGCGCCCTGCGCGCGAGGGAACCTCCTACTCTTCTCATCTCGTTTTATTTTTTTCGCGAACATCTACAAATCCGGAACGAATCGGAGGAGGTTCGAGTACATCGCCGAGAGATCGTAGCTTATCTAATCGAGAAACTTTTCTCTTTGCAGAACGCGGCCGACCAACGAGCGGCATGGGGCGCGAGGTAAAATCGTAAAAGGAAACGGATCGACGGAGATTAAAAGAGTGAGAAAATGCTTTATTGCTTGCTCAACTCACCTTCCTCGGTGAAATGAGCGCCGCCCACCTTCACATTGCCGTTGACTGTAAAAGGAAGCGCCGATAAGTTGGATAATTAAAGGATTTCGATAGTATCGAGAAGTCTTCTCTGATAAATTACTTTGGAAAACTGCCGTATATCTACTAGTTAATACTATTTGTTTTATACCGTGAATATATACCGTGATCTATTCTATCAAAATTTTACAACTAGAAGGAAATTATGTGGAAACGACTTTTAAAAAGCTTCTTTAAATAATTAAAGTAACGATATATATAATCGCCTAGAATAAAACCATATTTCGATGAAACTATCGTTATTTTAAAAAGTTTAAAAACGTAGATGGTACTTAGTTTTACATTACGAGAAAATAAAGAGTATATACGTAGTTTAAAACTTATCCGAAGTATTGTAGTACGATGGTTCTCATCGGAACTTTGCGGTACGCAAAAAGATTGCGACGAGCGTAAAACGCAATCAAGACGTAGAAAAGTTTGCCGGTGACTTACCGTTGCACATGCCACCGGTGCAATTCGCCACATTGATGTCCCTGCCCTGGCAAGGTCGACCGCCGTGGCTGGGTGGCGGCTCGTCGCACGATCTCCTTCTCGTGTGCGTGCAGTCGCTCCCACACACCGACCATGCCGACCATCTGGACCATCCGCCGTCCACAACTGGCGAGAAAAAAAAAGAGGAAGATGGAGATCCCCCTTCGTTCAGAGTTGTTAAGACGAGTCCGATCGACGTGTGGCAACAATAAAAAACTTGGACAGGACAAAACGGGCTCGTAACTCGGCGCGTATCTTCGCGGTCTCGTTGTGAGGGTACCATACTTGTCAATTCGGTTACGTTTACTGCCGTTGTTACCGGCTCTTACAACGACGTTTATTTCCCTTTCATATAATTGACTCGTATCGACACGTTTTTCCTTTAAGTCATCACGCGCGAAGGAGAAAAGAAAAGAAACAGAGAATGGTGACTAACCGCGCCGAACCCGTTTACATCCTCAGTCTCTCGTTCCAAAGCCGGCTGCTTTATTGGCACTTAAGCGCCACCGGATAAACAGCGCGGTGCGCTTGCTTTCCGACATGGTTTACTACGTTTTATTAAAACGCCCTTACATACGCGGTCGTAGCTGCGGTCGCGGTTTAATTTTCGTCCGTGGCCGAGGGCCATGATTCATACACATGTGAAGGACTTACCCAGGGTGTTAGTGAATTCCTCCAAAGGGCCGGCTACTCCAGTGAGCGAGCGTTAAGGGGAATAAAAAGTGCGTCGTGAGTGTCTTTCGCGTGAAAACGTCAAAAGAATATCGGATCGATCAATGTCTTAACCATTCACGTATAAAAGCGGACATCGATTTTCCTCGAACGTTATTCCAGCGGGTTCAATCATTTGCATGCACTCTGCGTATTCTTTACGGGAATAGCCATAGATGCTTTTAAGGTGTCGCAAACGTTTCGAAAGGTGAATACGATTTAAAAGACTTCACGAAGAGACTATGACGTGCGCAATAGATACGCTCGACGTGGAAAGAGAACGGAGAGAGAGAGGAAAGGGGGAGATCGGGTCGTAAATCAAACGAGACTTTTCTCTCTTCAGCATCGGTAATATTGTCTCGCCATAGCAAAACCGACTCATCTATCGTTTGCGCGACACGAATTATGAGAAGAAAGAGGAAGACACCTTTTTCGCTTGCTACACGTTAAGTACCTTGAGCGACGTTACCTTAGTAGGTTAGAATAAAGAAATATACGAAAATAGGCAAGAAGATTCCTCGATAGAGAGAGGTTTCTTCTTCGAAAGTCTTATGCGCGCGCGGATAATGAATTCAAGGGACTCACCGGGGCAAGCTGTGTTGCAGTCCATCTTTTGCTGAGACGGGCCGAGGCACGGCTGGCCGCCGTTCATGGGCGCTGGATTCGTGCACGTTCTCGTCCTCTTCTGACCGCCTTTCGCGCATCGCGAGTGGCATTCCGACCAAGACGACCAGGAAGACCAGCCACCGTTAACTAATCGAAACCAACAAAAATATTTTTGAAACGTATGAGACGAGAGAATTTCTTTTGTATTAACTATTAAATTAAATTATTAAATATTAATATTTAGATATTGAACGCTATGCAATATGATATATAAAATGTCGGGAAATATATAATAGATACAAGCAGATTTAATTATGTATATACACAAAAAATAATTTTTGAAGAAGAAAAAAAATCGTACGAGCTCTTACCGTATACTGTTAAGCTAACTGGCTCGCTTAGTCGTTTCGCAGCGATGTTCTCAGCGACGCACGTGTAATTCGCCTGATGACTAAGTTTCGCTTGACCAATAAGTAGGTGACCCTCGCTGGACACGAGAAGTGTATCCGACTCAGTGTCCACGGGGATATTATTTCTTAACCAGTAAACTCTAGGTGGTGGCACTCCTACCGGAGGCAAACACCTGAGTTCGGTGCTCTGACCTGCTTCGACGGATACGGAGTATGGTGGCGATTCGAATTGTTTCTTCAAATCTGAAAAAAATAATTTCACGTGCCCGTCTTGAATAATGATAATAGAACGAAATTATAATTTATGAAATTTAAAGTATTTTAATTTCTTTTTTTTTCTTTTTTTTTAAATTATAATATTTATAAAAGGAAAATATTGGCTCATATATATATATACAAATATCAAAATCTTTTTTTTTATGTGACGCAGTATCTTTTCAACTTTTTTGGTAATTTATACGATGTTTCTTTCTATCTCCCCGAACGCATTTTTACGTCTAGCTTTTGAGTTATGTAACTCTGAAATTGGCCAAGTGGTTGTCCCTTTAAATTGATTCTCTTGGAAACTCGACGCTCATTGCATTGTCGTCAATTAAGGAACAGAATTAAATAACGACTTCGCTGGCAGGAGAATCAAGATAATTACGAGGGAACAAAGACAAAGTGAGACGAAAAGTCGACTGTCCCCAGAATCCTCGCGGCGTTTATTTCAAACCTTTTTGATTCACGTACTTGAACTACACACTGAGAGCAAGAATTGTTTGACTTAAAAATAAGAAAATATAGCCCACGTGTTATAATTTTTGCTATGATGTAACTACACATTGCAGCTTTTTATTCAGTTGAAAAATTTTGTTGATGAAATAAGAAATTTAAAAACTTCTTAAGAAGATTAATGGATCAATACAATCTTACTTTTGTATATACTTACAAGCAACATCGATAATTGCCGGCTGGCTCTTAATTTGTCCTGATCCAGACCAAGCGATGCATTCGCACTTGAATTTATCCTTGCTAAAGTACTCCTCAATATGATCTCTCGTGATATTGAGTTCGCAATCGACGATCCTTGTTCCCGTATGGGGATCTACGAAATCCTGCTGCTGAGAATCCTCCGCCCTCACGTTGTTACAACGGAAATAAATCTGTAGCGCGTGAGCGGCCTTGCAATGCAGAGTTGCGGGTTTGTTCTTCACGACGAAAGAGTTTATAGGTTCCGTGAGAAAAACTGGTAAATGACCGCCACCTTCGGAAATCAACTCGGTATCGCTGGCTATCGTAGCCGAAGGCACATCGTCTTCCTCTAGGAGATACGAGTCCTCCTCCTCTGCGGCATCTTCATTTTCTAACACAAAAAGAAACAGTTTGATTTTTTTTAAACTGCTTTTTTTATAGGCATTTATAATACATAATAATATAATTAAATATCTATATCATTATTATTTGCAAAAAGTAAAAGCATTTTTTTTATGTAGTATTTTTATCCGGTTTGCAAATCAATGTCGCGGAAAAAATCGAACTCACTTCTGGATTCAAGAGGGTGGCGGTGAGGGGGGGGAGGGAGCCGTTTCGGGGCATCCAGCCCCCTCGAGGAGAGAGATCCAGTCGTGTACACGCTCGGGTCTACGCTACGGGATAATGGCACTTTATTTGCATGCGCGATCAATTTCCCCCTTCCGCGACGAGGGCGTAACGGCTACCGATTACATAATTTTCTTCGATATTAAAGCCGGTTCTCCGCCCCTCGGCGCAAAGGGGGTAGAGAGAGTGCAGCCGTATCGCGTGCAACTTTGATGTGCTTCGGTCGATAGAATTGGCTACCTTAGGGTGGCGGGGGAGAGCGAGAGGGGTTGGCGAGGGAGAATGGCGTCTGTGCGGACCAGTGGGCCACCCTTGGCTACCTCATTGTTACGATTGTTTGGATCGACGCAACGAGGGGTCGCGACGATCATGCCGGGCCTTCGCGGGAGCGTCAATAATTAACCAGTCGAGTAATTAAAAGTAAATAGTAGCTTCGAGCTCGTTATTGACGCGGAAAAACGCGTTGGCAAATACGTCGTGGTAAAGCGAGCGATATTGCAGGCAGTCGACCGGCTCTCATTTCATCCGCGGAAATTATATTTTTAGCATAAGCGCGCTGAGAGATCGACGAGCCTGATGCACAGCGCGGGCGCCTCGATTTGCGTTATTATACCGGATTAATGAATAATGCTAATGTTCACCGCGCCTGCGTTCACGCTCTCTATTTTGCCGTCTTTTTCATAGCGCATAAAACATCTGATTTGAATGGTATCAGATCGTCGGGTATAGCGCCGCGTCGCCGGGAATATAAATGGCGTGCACCAGGCGTGAAGAATCCATCCAAGAATGTCGCACGACGAGTTAAGGACATTTGCTTCGCGGTTGAACGCCTTGGTCGCGCCCTGCGCGCGAGGGAACCTCCTACTCTTCTCATCTCGTTTTATTTTTTTCGCGAACATCTACAAATCCGGAACGAATCGGAGGAGGTTCGAGTACATCGCCGAGAGATCGTAGCTTATCTAATCGAGAAACTTTTCTCTTTGCAGAACGCGGCCGACCAACGAGCGGCATGGGGCGCGAGGTAAAATCGTAAAAGGAAACGGATCGACGGAGATTAAAAGAGTGAGAAAATGCTTTATTGCTTGCTCAACTCACCTTCCTCGGTGAAATGAGCGCCGCCCACCTTCACATTGCCGTTGACTGTAAAAGGAAGCGCCGATAAGTTGGATAATTAAAGGATTTCGATAGTATCGAGAAGTCTTCTCTGATAAATTACTTTGGAAAACTGCCGTATATCTACTAGTTAATACTATTTGTTTTATACCGTGAATATATACCGTGATCTATTCTATCAAAATTTTACAACTAGAAGGAAATTATGTGGAAACGACTTTTAAAAAGCTTCTTTAAATAATTAAAGTAACGATATATATAATCGCCTAGAATAAAACCATATTTCGATGAAACTATCGTTATTTTAAAAAGTTTAAAAACGTAGATGGTACTTAGTTTTACATTACGAGAAAATAAAGAGTATATACGTAGTTTAAAACTTATCCGAAGTATTGTAGTACGATGGTTCTCATCGGAACTTTGCGGTACGCAAAAAGATTGCGACGAGCGTAAAACGCAATCAAGACGTAGAAAAGTTTGCCGGTGACTTACCGTTGCACATGCCACCGGTGCAATTCGCCACATTGATGTCCCTGCCCTGGCAAGGTCGACCGCCGTGGCTGGGTGGCGGCTCGTCGCACGATCTCCTTCTCGTGTGCGTGCAGTCGCTCCCACACACCGACCATGCCGACCATCTGGACCATCCGCCGTCCACAACTGGCGAGAAAAAAAAAGAGGAAGATGGAGATCCCCCTTCGTTCAGAGTTGTTAAGACGAGTCCGATCGACGTGTGGCAACAATAAAAAACTTGGACAGGACAAAACGGGCTCGTAACTCGGCGCGTATCTTCGCGGTCTCGTTGTGAGGGTACCATACTTGTCAATTCGGTTACGTTTACTGCCGTTGTTACCGGCTCTTACAACGACGTTTATTTCCCTTTCATATAATTGACTCGTATCGACACGTTTTTCCTTTAAGTCATCACGCGCGAAGGAGAAAAGAAAAGAAACAGAGAATGGTGACTAACCGCGCCGAACCCGTTTACATCCTCAGTCTCTCGTTCCAAAGCCGGCTGCTTTATTGGCACTTAAGCGCCACCGGATAAACAGCGCGGTGCGCTTGCTTTCCGACATGGTTTACTACGTTTTATTAAAACGCCCTTACATACGCGGTCGTAGCTGCGGTCGCGGTTTAATTTTCGTCCGTGGCCGAGGGCCATGATTCATACACATGTGAAGGACTTACCCAGGGTGTTAGTGAATTCCTCCAAAGGGCCGGCTACTCCAGTGAGCGAGCGTTAAGGGGAATAAAAAGTGCGTCGTGAGTGTCTTTCGCGTGAAAACGTCAAAAGAATATCGGATCGATCAATGTCTTAACCATTCACGTATAAAAGCGGACATCGATTTTCCTCGAACGTTATTCCAGCGGGTTCAATCATTTGCATGCACTCTGCGTATTCTTTACGGGAATAGCCATAGATGCTTTTAAGGTGTCGCAAACGTTTCGAAAGGTGAATACGATTTAAAAGACTTCACGAAGAGACTATGACGTGCGCAATAGATACGCTCGACGTGGAAAGAGAACGGAGAGAGAGAGGAAAGGGGGAGATCGGGTCGTAAATCAAACGAGACTTTTCTCTCTTCAGCATCGGTAATATTGTCTCGCCATAGCAAAACCGACTCATCTATCGTTTGCGCGACACGAATTATGAGAAGAAAGAGGAAGACACCTTTTTCGCTTGCTACACGTTAAGTACCTTGAGCGACGTTACCTTAGTAGGTTAGAATAAAGAAATATACGAAAATAGGCAAGAAGATTCCTCGATAGAGAGAGGTTTCTTCTTCGAAAGTCTTATGCGCGCGCGGATAATGAATTCAAGGGACTCACCGGGGCAAGCTGTGTTGCAGTCCATCTTTTGCTGAGACGGGCCGAGGCACGGCTGGCCGCCGTTCATGGGCGCTGGATTCGTGCACGTTCTCGTCCTCTTCTGACCGCCTTTCGCGCATCGCGAGTGGCATTCCGACCAAGACGACCAGGAAGACCAGCCACCGTTAACTAATCGAAACCAACAAAAATATTTTTGAAACGTATGAGACGAGAGAATTTCTTTTGTATTAACTATTAAATTAAATTATTAAATATTAATATTTAGATATTGAACGCTATGCAATATGATATATAAAATGTCGGGAAATATATAATAGATACAAGCAGATTTAATTATGTATATACACAAAAAATAATTTTTGAAGAAGAAAAAAAATCGTACGAGCTCTTACCGTATACTGTTAAGCTAACTGGCTCGCTTAGTCGTTTCGCAGCGATGTTCTCAGCGACGCACGTGTAATTCGCCTGATGACTAAGTTTCGCTTGACCAATAAGTAGGTGACCCTCGCTGGACACGAGAAGTGTATCCGACTCAGTGTCCACGGGGATATTATTTCTTAACCAGTAAACTCTAGGTGGTGGCACTCCTACCGGAGGCAAACACCTGAGTTCGGTGCTCTGACCTGCTTCGACGGATACGGAGTATGGTGGCGATTCGAATTGTTTCTTCAAATCTGAAAAAAATAATTTCACGTGCCCGTCTTGAATAATGATAATAGAACGAAATTATAATTTATGAAATTTAAAGTATTTTAATTTCTTTTTTTTTCTTTTTTTTTAAATTATAATATTTATAAAAGGAAAATATTGGCTCATATATATATATACAAATATCAAAATCTTTTTTTTTATGTGACGCAGTATCTTTTCAACTTTTTTGGTAATTTATACGATGTTTCTTTCTATCTCCCCGAACGCATTTTTACGTCTAGCTTTTGAGTTATGTAACTCTGAAATTGGCCAAGTGGTTGTCCCTTTAAATTGATTCTCTTGGAAACTCGACGCTCATTGCATTGTCGTCAATTAAGGAACAGAATTAAATAACGACTTCGCTGGCAGGAGAATCAAGATAATTACGAGGGAACAAAGACAAAGTGAGACGAAAAGTCGACTGTCCCCAGAATCCTCGCGGCGTTTATTTCAAACCTTTTTGATTCACGTACTTGAACTACACACTGAGAGCAAGAATTGTTTGACTTAAAAATAAGAAAATATAGCCCACGTGTTATAATTTTTGCTATGATGTAACTACACATTGCAGCTTTTTATTCAGTTGAAAAATTTTGTTGATGAAATAAGAAATTTAAAAACTTCTTAAGAAGATTAATGGATCAATACAATCTTACTTTTGTATATACTTACAAGCAACATCGATAATTGCCGGCTGGCTCTTAATTTGTCCTGATCCAGACCAAGCGATGCATTCGCACTTGAATTTATCCTTGCTAAAGTACTCCTCAATATGATCTCTCGTGATATTGAGTTCGCAATCGACGATCCTTGTTCCCGTATGGGGATCTACGAAATCCTGCTGCTGAGAATCCTCCGCCCTCACGTTGTTACAACGGAAATAAATCTGTAGCGCGTGAGCGGCCTTGCAATGCAGAGTTGCGGGTTTGTTCTTCACGACGAAAGAGTTTATAGGTTCCGTGAGAAAAACTGGTAAATGACCGCCACCTTCGGAAATCAACTCGGTATCGCTGGCTATCGTAGCCGAAGGCACATCGTCTTCCTCTAGGAGATACGAGTCCTCCTCCTCTGCGGCATCTTCATTTTCTAACACAAAAAGAAACAGTTTGATTTTTTTTAAACTGCTTTTTTTATAGGCATTTATAATACATAATAATATAATTAAATATCTATATCATTATTATTTGCAAAAAGTAAAAGCATTTTTTTTATGTAGTATTTTTATCCGGTTTGCAAATCAATGTCGCGGAAAAGCTTGTATGTTAAAATCAATAATTAAATGTGACGAAAATATTAGAGACTATTATAAAGTAATGAATCGAGTCGATTCCGTATTATCATTACGTCGCATTTCATTATCAGCGAAAATCTGACGAAGCGGCATGAGAGCGGAATCGCGATCGTCTACATTCTAAATACGCCGTAACCGCGTAACTCACGGTTCAGTTATTAATTCGATGACGATCATTATTCACGCGTGGCGCTTTCTATCGGAGTCACGAAAATTTTATATTCGCCTGTCAACACAATAGTGTGTCCCAACTGTAAATCCTGACGCCCGGCCATTAATGCAGGCGTCGCTTCGCGGAGGCCGACTAGGAAACGCCGGCTACGAACAATCGCGCGATCCACGCTGCAGTAATGAATTTTCGGATTTACGCGGCGCACCGGTGCACAAGTCCGATGTATTTTCCGCCAACGAGTGGTTAGACCTTTATCCCCGTGCGACATTTGGCCGGGGGCCACAATTTAACGTGCCACCCTATACCGTCGCCTTTTTCACTCTTTTTCGCTCTCTTCTCTCACTCTTTTCTCTCTCTCCTTCCCCCCCCCCTCTTTCTCTCTCTCTAAGCTTAAAAAAATGCGACGCATAATAAACTGTCCGCGTATTCCGTTTTTTATACAGTGCTCAATTTGTCAAACAAAGTCCGATATCGAACAATCGGATGTTGCAGTTACGATATAAATACGGGGATGAAAATACGATATGGCTGTTAACACTAACAGGTTAGCACGAAACGCGTTCGCACCTCGTCTATATCGAAGTCAGTGAATTGCAACGACGGCGCCGATGCCGGATAAACGCGATGTGTTACGGAATCAATACAGATGCGCGCATTGTCTTACGATTGATTGTTTTAGGCGTACGACGAAACAGATATATGGCATTTGATCATGACAGTTTCGACTGGCAACACACCAATGTATGTATGATTTGATGTTGATTTTCTGTGATTTTGGATTTTAACAGTCGGTTCGTGTTCGTTGGTTAATTCCATTATGTGCATTCGAAACAAATATTTCTTACTCGACAAAATCGAGGGGGCGTGTTAAACAACATATAACCGCCTTTGAGAAAAGAATGAAAAAGATAAAGAGGCGGGGGGGGGGAGAGCGATTCACGACGGCGATGACGTTACAATGGGATTGGCAATAGTCGAGGGATTCCCCGAACAACGATGACGTCGGAGTCACAGGCAGAAATTCGGTAACGCGCGACGTACTCGTACGAATACGAGAGACGCGTAAGTAAAATAGGATTTTCATCGGTTTCCGATAATTCGAGCAGATCGAATGGCCGATAGAACCCATCGAAATCATTCTACCCGGTTTCTCCTGATGGTGAATTCATCCATACGAATTCTCGTTAGCCATTTGGGAGCATGCGACCAGTTCGTTAACCATTTCGAACATGCGCATAGCTCTTCGCTGCATTCATCAGGGATTTTATTGTACATATTTCATACGCGGGGATGTTATAGGAAAGCGTCACACGACGAATCGTCGTATCGCTGGTCGTATGTCTTCGACATTATTACGTGACGTCGCGTACAAGCTGAAGGTTTGGTGTTTAATATCGGCACGAATGAAATAACCATCAGCCTTAATTGGTTTTATATCCGGCTTTCTTAATTGCAGTTGCCTCGAGCGCGTTTTACGGCCTTCTCGTTTTGCGAATCGGACGGACGTTGTATAATTTGTAGCCATGATCTATTTGTACGATGGGGTTATATAGCAGCGTTCTCTGATAGCGGCTTTTCCAGCACATTGGATACATACAAAGGAAAGAGCGCACGCGATAACAAGACGCGGATTTAATCGGGTAACGTCACGCGATACGCGGAAAGTGGAACGAGATGGAATGGGATTTTCATTGCTTCCTGACAATTCGACCAGATCGAATCATTGATAGGAATGCGCGCGGAATCGTTCTCTCTCTTTCTCTCTTTTTACCTCTCTCTCTTTCGGCGCCGACTCGAATACGACATGCGTCGCCGTTATTCAATCGATTCGCGTGTATTTTTAACAACGTCCAATGACACGGTTAGTTCTCTTACGCCGAAGCGGTTTGCCAAACACGGCGAGGTCTTTAAACGCCGAAAACAAGAGCCGCGGAGAGAGAATGCAGACACGAAGCGGACGACTTAATTGAGGCAGGTCACGCGACACTGTATAATGTCGAGTCAGTTGCGGGAGAAAAAGAAAAGGTTCCTCCATTGGGTCTAGATAATTATCCGCAGCGGCCGCGTGGAATCTTGGCCACAATGAATATTCGATGACCGTGAACGCGCGGAGCGTCACGATCATTATTCATTTTATACGCGCGTAGTGTCGGGTAACGCGGCACGTTAAATTATAACTCGCGTCGTCGCGCGTACATATTTCGAATTGGTTCCGCAATACGAAAGCTACGTTTACCTTAATCCGCCGATTAATGCAGCGATACTGGGAAAAAATTTTGCGCGCGACAACGAGGGGCGCGAGACGAGAGGGGTAATCTAATCGTGCGCGATGTCACGCGACACGCGCGCGACGATCGTGTCGTTTCGCCGGTCCGGAGAATTGTCATCGGTTTCCGATAATTCGGCTCGATCGGATGGACGATAGGGCCCGGATGAAAACGTATCCGGTCTCATATCGTCGCTCGAATCACCTGGTCGCGGCGCCAGCATGAGCCCCCTCCTCGTTAGCCACGGCGGGCAAGCTAGTTAGTCGTGTCTCCGTTAGATACGCGTCGCAGACGGCCAGGCAGGCAGGCAGACGGTAGCGGCTACACACGTGTACATGAACGCGATGTGCATTCGCATCCTCGAACCCCACGTGGCTACTATGCGGGTTGACCACGTATCGTGCCCGGAACGAGACAGAGACACGAGTCGCACGGTGCATTCGTGTACGGTTTCATGATGCGTCTGCACGCCGGGGTGAGAGACCACACATGACGCCTCTTAATTAACAAAGGTACCTGCAACAGCAGTACCGAGAGAACACCGTCGAGAGATTCTTGCTCGGTCGACGGCCACGCTCGACGGTACCGAGCGTGAGGAAGGGCATACACGAAGTGTACGGACGAGCGCGACGAGATGCCGCGAACGAAAGGAAGAGGTACGAATTAAAGAAGAGACAAGGGGTTCCTTGTTTCTCGCGTCACGTGCCTTGTTATTTTAACCAGCGAGCCGAGCAACGTCCAAACTACCACCCGCTATTGTTGCGTGGCCGCGGTAACATTGACCCAACGGTTTGTGTGTTTTTTCCCCCTGATTTTCATGATGATACGAATAAGAAAACGGTAAGATTCGAATCAACATGCAAAAATAACCGTTAAAATTCTCTCAATAAAATCTTATCGAATAAAGTGTTCGATCCGCTCTTCTCGAACAGTGCGAAAGGTGCGAAAAGGCGATTATCCCTCGGGCGACTTTTCTCAAATCGGATTAGTCAGAAGTCGCGATCCAGGTGCAGAGCAAATATTTTGAATGGTTTTCGAGTGAGAGCAAGCCGACAATAAAACCCAAAAGTCGTATTGAATTAACGTTTCCACGTCCATCTATCGTCGCATAGTGAAGAGGTCCGTTTCCGGTTGGAGGACGTTGCGGACGTACTGTGTCGTCACGTCACAATAGTGAACGGCGCCTAGTCAGGTCGGGTCACCATTGTATTCTAGACCGTTCACAGATCACGACCTCCGTATCCATATAATGCAAGTCAAGTTCCACGCGCGTCTTGTTGAACCGTCATGCCGACTAACGAGAGACATGACAACGAGTGGGTCGATACAACGATTTTTTTTTATCGATCGATATCGCATGGGTCCATGCGTGGGAGATACGATCCAACGCAGATGAAGATCGCTTGAGATCTAAAGAGAGGTTGATGGAGATCGTGATCCCGATATTTTACTCCGGCAAGATCGGCGACGAGATGACACCGTGGGACGGATTAAAGATTAAAGTATTTCAACTGATCCGGATCGGTCGATACATCTTAATCCCACGTATAGATGTAGAGGGAGATTGTTTATCGGGCGTATTACTTTGCATGCGTGTGAAAGTAACACATGTGTACTGATAGGATTTTAGAATTACTGATAGAACAGCCCTACAGCTGTTTCAAGCTCGTAGCGATATCGCTTGCTTAATTTCAAGTTGATTTTGACTCGACTTTATTGTGTGTATGTGATCAAATTTATTTTCTTTTTTTTTCAAATTTCTCTCGCAAAAAGTTCTCGAAATATAGGAAGGCTAGGAAATACAATTTTTGCGAAAGAATAATCGAATATAGCCCGAAGCGCGTAACACGTATGGCGGCCGCGTATGTGTCGACAGCGACTAAATGAATTAAAGAGCTCGCAAATGCATGAGCAGTGAGGGTGAGAGTGGCGCAAAGAGTGGAAAATGGAGGGTGATGATGCGTATTACACGACTCGATTGCGGCCCGGCATCGCCGCTACGTTAAGGCGTGTAATTAAGCGAATAACGGAATCAGATACGACTGTTCGCGTGTTACCACTCGCGGTGGCTTCTTAGAGAGTGTATTGATAACAGCGAGGTCGAATCGCATACGTCATGCCGATATATTTCCACGATACCCTCTCATACGTATCTTTTTATAGTTTCAGGCTATTAAAATTGAATGAAAATTCGCGCGCGATGTAACATTACAGCGGATCATCGCTGCGGTTATATTGAATCGAATGTGCAGCGTAACGATTCTACAACAAAAATACATGGAAACAATCCGTTCTGTTTTGTTCGAAATGAAAGCGAGCGCGATGAAACAAAGCCAAAATAAAAGTTTTATAACCGAATCTACGTATACGCGATATCTCGTAAGAATTTTTATTTTTTATTATATGTATATAGCGTGTAACCTGCAATTATAATAATATGTGAATTTATATCAGTCTTTTATTAAGAGAAAATTTTTCATATATTTTACTTACTATACATATATTCTGCTTAAATATACACTGACATTGTGTAATATTAATTCCTGACGTAGACAGATTTTGAAATCGTTAATATTCCTTAAACTTACTTCACAGATATTCTTGTTTCATTATTTATAATTTCATAATTAATTGAAGGTAATCATAAGAACCGTGTGCTATAATCTCATTAAAAAAAAGCAGTTTTATCGTGCGAGAATATCACGACTCCGAGGAACGTAATCCGATCGGTCGATATTTCACGATCGCCGTTCCCTCGCATATTCGCGAGGCACCGTTCGGTCCCCCCTCTGGCTCCACCACGTCAATATTCTCCCCGATTTCAACAATAATCGTACTTGCGCAACTCCGGGGCCTCCTCGGCCGGCACGGTGCCGCGGCCGCTCGTTTGATTTACGATAATTAAAGCTGACCTGACCTTTCGTCGCAGCGAGAAGAACGCGCGATATTCCTTCTCGATCCGTCGGATACCGATGAGAGAATACGAGATATTAAAGAGACTCTCCCCCTTTTTCGTCTTTTCATCCTCATTCCCGATCGCCATTCATTTCATTTTTTTCTTCTCTCTCTCTCTCTTGCCTTGTCACAAGAACCCTTTTTTTCAAATCTGGCGAGACGAGACCGCCTCTCCTGGAATGAACCGGGTAATTGTACGACGGAGGGAGCGCGCGTACCAATTGACGTGTTTGCGGCTTTTGCATTTTTGCCGATGGCGATTTCGCGAGAGGCCAGATTTCCCGGCTCCCATCGCTCGCGCAGCCAGCCGCATTCTTTGATCGGCGATTATATCGCGAACGATAATCGCGATTTACTTATGATACTTATCAAAGTGGGAGGGTTGACCGGCCGACCGGCCGGCGTGAGTAGCGGATCCCTTTCGAATCCGCGCGATGCATTCGCGCGCGGGATCCTATTATCCTCTCTCGACGTGTAAGCGCCGCGCTGTGATCGAGGATAACGAATCTGATCGTGAAAGCGATGATATAACGCCCGGCGATTTATAGCGCGATCATTTCGTGAGGTATGATTAGAAACACCGCGGCGATTGCCAGTACACGAATTCGTCATGGTTCGTGTAATTTATTACACCGCGCGATTAAGGAAGCTCATTTCGAAGAGACGGAACAAATTATTACCAAAGATATCCCCCGAAGCCATTTTACTACGGCCGAAACTCTTGACGAAGTTCTTCTCTCGTTGGAGTCGTAAAAACATCGATCGCAAAATCAATTTTGCCATTGCGTTCACCTCGCGGCTACACCGAACCGTTCCTCTCTCACGCACACGCGTATCCGTGTAAGCTCCGGTGTAAATCACAAAGCAACTCGGAACGTGCACGAATTAACGATCAATTTCTCCGCATAATCCCGCGTCGCGGAACATAAATTTTCGAGCAGAGCGCACGCGCGACGCTATCGGTTTCATAAATTTAATACTCGCGTACGGGGAGCGTGTGTATGCTGGATACGGAGAGCTCTCCCATTCGGGTGAAAGCCCGAATTTGGGCTTTGAGGGCGCGCGCGCGCGCGCGAGGATGCTGCGGCATGTGTATCGCCAGGCGCTTCCGTCTGCGAAGCCCCCGCATCGTAAAAAATTCCACCGCGAGCCGAATTCATCTTCCGGACGTGAAATTCACGAATCGTGCGTCGCGTTGAGTCGAGTCGCGCCGTGAGATAACGAGCACGGCTGAAAAATTGCACGTCGCCACCGGTGCTCGCGCGCGCTCGCGGATGCAATGCTGCAACAGTGAAAACCGGGTGCGGTGGCTACCGCATGTGCGGCCAAAACGTGAGAACGCAGACTCGTTGGAGCGGCACGTCCTCTCCGCGGGCGACCCGTTAATTATTAACGCGGCTAATATTTTTCTCGCCGCACGCGGCGGCAGCGCCGGGCCGCCGCTCAAGACGGCGAAATTATGACGCGATTTCACGTCGCGATAAATCGTCAAGGTAATTATTCACGCACGTGCGAGTGTGTGTGCGTGTGTGCATGCATGCATGTCTTGTAATACGTCGCGTTGTCTCCTTTTCTCTCGGCAAGTTGCACGTAGGAGAATGGCTGTGCGAACGAGCGGCGCTAGGCGCCGTTTGTTCGCCGCTTCCTGTCCGATGATGACGACGTTGATGATTACGCCTTAGAATCGAGTAGAAGAAAAGACTGATCGCGTCGGTTCGCTCAACGCAGAGCGCCTTCGACAGACACGATAGGCGCCGTGTAACTCTCGCTGAAATTATTCCGAGGTCAGAGGCCGTAATTGTATATTTATCAGCGAGTTGGAAGTATATCGCCATTAAGGCTTGTTTTTCACATAACGATGATAGTAACGAGTGCGGCAATTATCTGCGAGTTACACGCGATGACTTGGAGAATAGATTGCAATCTTTTTCATATGCTTGATAGGTGCAGCCAGTCGTGCCTATGCCATTATGCGGGGTGTTTCGGACGGCAATCGTGCTTCATTAAATTTTATCTAATCATGCACAATGAAGTCTTCGATATGCGAGGAGTAAATGTATAGCCTTCACGCACAGCGTTTTTAACCGCGTTATTATATCCGCATTGTTTCTCGACGTGTGTCTGTTGAAGATAATTGTTACTTATCCGAGAGACGTGCGTGAGAAATGGAAAGCACGCTTCGCGAGCACGTGTATGTATACCAACGCGTACATATATATATGTATATGTGCGATATGATTTCTCGAGCGCGACGGTGACTGTGCGAAGAATATATCCTCGCTAGTTGTAGCTTCCATCGTGAGGATGCGCGCCAGAATGGGAATTATTTATCTACCCGGTGCACACTGCGAGAAAAATGGCCAAAAGAAGACGACGTGTGTGTACGCCGTGTACGCGCATTATGTTGCGATTTCTATTGTACAGCACGTACTCAGGGGAATGGAAAACGAATGTTTTCAAGCCGGCGCCGTTTGTTCCCGTCGATGTGTGCGCGCGTGGGCAAACGCGCCTTTCGTGCGGGATAATAAGGATGAGAGCCAAGCGCGTGTATAGCCAAGATTATATAGTTAGATGTTGGAGGAGAAGACGGTTAGCGAGTCATAATTGTATCCTCGTTTCGCGCCAGCGTTAAATCATACACATCCGTTTTTCGTTTACCAGGGAAACTACACGCTACACGCGAGCTAACGAAGGTAACTCGCGGTTACTCGGTGGGAGCGAGATTTTGGACAATGCGGGAAAGAGATGTGTTGATGAAAGAACGCGAAAAATAGATTACTGGACGTGTTTGTTTTAGGACGACGTCGCGCGCGATACTTTTGTCCCCGGTTAACAGAGATTGATTATCGCTCGCCCTTTTTACATTAACGCGCGAGCGTACCAGGGCAAATATCCGCGTCGCTATAGATACAATCCATCGTTAACGTGAACGACGATGACGAGGATATGTCAGAAGCGCTAATTAGTCAGCCGCGGTGTCCCTTCGTGAGAGGAGAAGATTGAAGAAAGAAGAGCGTAGCATTGGGGGTTACCACCACGTGTATAGTATAGTCCAGGAGGTCGTTCTCAAAAGTAGCTCCAGGGTAGAGTATAATCCATCATCGAAAACGGGCTGATGTAATGTAACCGGCCGGTTATGCCGACGACTAATCAGTCAGTCTGCCTCGCCGTATAATTAGCAGTCTCTCTCGATCTCGTTCCCGCGGCGGATATTCCCGCGCGTATTCGTAACGCTTGCTCGTATACATATATCTTTAGCCACAACGCTCGACTTTCCTTCCTCGCTGTAGCCCGCAAAAGGCATGCCACTGTTTTCATTTTCCGCTCGCGATCGTTAGCGAAACACCTAAATCACGGTGTATTACGTCTCGCTCCGAGTATTGCGATCCCCCCAGTTGACGGATGATATTTTCAAGTGGCTTGTCGCGTCCTAATTATTGTAAATATATATTATATATACACACGTTATTTACCGAAACGCATTTATACGACCCTTTCTCGCGGATTTTATTAAGAGTGCGGTTTGAAATACTTCTATTGTTTCGTGTAATTATTTCTTCTCTCTTTTCCGCGAAACAAAAAAAAATATATAAATGTCTCGAGTCTGAAAGCAGATGAGGCAAATTAACGCTATCAGTGATCGTTTCATCAACGACGTAATGACACAACGTAATTTACAGCCTAACAGTAATTTCTCTTGTACGTTTCTCCGACGCCTGCGTCCGGCAGGACTCACGTAAAGTAGTACTCGGACATTGCGTTTGGTGCGAGTACCTCGAGCGAGAATACTTCGGCCGCATGGCTCTTGGTATCCGCGGGAATGGGAGATCATTATAGGCTCTCGGCATGAGTTAAATGGCAAACTTAACGATCTTCTACGAGATCTCTTCCTCAGCTGCCTTGACGTAGCTAGCCTCAAGTTTTACGAGAGAGCGACGCGGTAGAGCTTTCTATATATGTATATATATAAAATCGAAATTATATACATATAATTTTGATTTATGTACGGAGTTCTTTTACTTACCTTCGCCGGATGTGAAGGGACGAACCACTCCTGGTAGGAGCACGCAGAATAAGAGAAACAGCGAGCAAGATTTCGGCCTCATCGCGTATAAGGGATTGACCGTGATACGATCATTCGTTCATCTCTCGTGTAAAGGAACGATCGGAATGACACTTAAATACCGTCACTCGGCGCCACTCGACACAACACTGGCCACTCGTCGGCTTGATACGAGCCCGCACCTGCAACACAAACGAGAAACAACGGTTGATTAATATAGCAATTTCAGCACATCTGGCTTTCTTGTTAACACGAGAAAATAATTTTCTACGAACGCGAAATATAATCATGCGCGCCATAAATCTTGGACATAAAGAGCATAAGTAAAATATATACGCGACTTTTAGTAATTTCGAGAAACACGATAAAGCAACCTACTTCGTTTCTACTACGTAACGCATATGGAAAGTATATTCTTTGCGCAGAATGAAAATTCCATCTCGCACGCAACGGGGCGAAGAAGTATCGAGGTGAAATGGGTTTAACGTCGGTCGGGTCGCCGCGACGTTGTTTCTACCGGAAAGCGTAAGAGACGGTTAGAGGAAAGTCGAGAGTGCCACTTACGACGTGGCTCTGGCAGCCCTTGGCATTTAAATATTCCAACGGCGGCAGACACTTTCCCGCACGCGAAATTTCCTCGCGGCGCCTTCATTTCCAGTCGTTGCTACCGTGAAAGGAACGCAAGGAAAGCCAAGGGGAGAGGGCGTAATTTCCCCTTATGTTTCGATAGCTCCCTCGAACGCGAGACTGCTGTTTCTTCCAGGAGGAGGGATTCCGATCGATAACCGTCGGAATTAATTATTAAGCGTGTTTCGTCTATTGGAAATATGGTCTCTTAAGATTACTGATATATATATATATATATATATATATATATATATATATATATATATAGATATTATACAT